GAGAGAGAGAGAGAGAGAGAGAGAGAGAGAGAGAGAGAGAGAGAGAGAGAGATTCATTCCCTAAATTCTGTGACTCTAGAGGACCTTGACTAACACACCAACTAATATCTGATTTGACTTAACTCCACAAGATGGAACCCATACCCAACACTACTTGGATGACCAAGAACCTGAGACTAGATAGCCCAGGAACCTAGGGTAAAACCAAATACTACTGTTCCACTAAAAGAGTATGGCAATAAAATGATTCCTAATGACATTCTGCTATACTTACAGACCGGTGCCTTGCTCAGCCATCATCAGTAAAGCTTCATCCTGCAGCAGAATGGAACAAATACAGAGCCCCACAGCCAGACAAAATACACCTTAAACAGATGTCTCCATCAAAACCCTCTCCTCAGGGCTCAGAGAACTCTGAGGAAGAGGAGGCATAAAGAAGAGCCAGAGGGAATGGAGGACAGCACAGAAACAAAGTCCTCTACATCAACAGTATCGATGCACATATGAACTCACAGAGACTGAGACAACATGCACAGGGCCAGCACCAGGCTGCACCAGATGGGGTCCTAGAGCTGAAAAGAGAAGTGGACACATGCTCCCATCCCTAACCCTAATCCAGAAGCTATCTCCAATTGATAACCACTTGCAAATGCAAATTTAGTTTTCTCTAAGGGAGTCTCATTGAGGAAACAAACCACTCTTGGTGTTGTTGTTTGGTTCTGTTTCTCAAGACAGGGTTTCTCTGCTTATTGGCTGTCCTGGAACTCACTCTGTAGACCAGGATGGCCTGGAACTCATAGAGATTCGCCTGCCTCTGCCTCCCACGTGCAGGTATTAAGGGGTGTGCCACCACTGCCCAGACTGAACAACTACTCTTAAGGGTAGGGTGTATGCCCAGCACTCGATGATCAACAGAAAACAAAATCAGTGGCATCTTTGGAGGTTCCTTGTCTCATAATGTTGTGTTGTATCTTATTTTTATTTTTTTATATGTAGTTTGTTTTTTCCTCTTTTTACCCTTCAGGTCCTTGCATATATATTATGGCTTCCAGTTTCTTGTTTTTATGGGGCTCCAGAGTGTGTGAAAGAATGGGTCTTTGCATCTACATCCTTTTCTTATGTATTTTCTTGGGTTCTTTTCTTTCTGTTTGTTTGTTTTGTCCTATTCCAATGTATTGGTTTTTGTTTTATTGTATTATATTATAGTTTATTATTATCCCTTAGAAGCCTGGTTGTTTTCTAATGAGAGACAAAAAGGAGGTGGATCTAGATGGAAAGGGAGGTGGGGAGGAACTGGAAGGAGTAGGAGGGGAAACCATAATCAGGATATATTATATGAGAATTTTTAAAAAATCTATTTTCAATAAAAGGGGGAAAAAAAGAACTGTCCACATTGAATGGCAATAGAGCTGGGAGTAAAGCAACCTTTCCTTTAAATTTGAATTCTGTCTTTAAGAAATTAGAATATTCTTAAAGCCAGGCATGGTGGTGCACTCAGGAGTCAGATATCAATAGCGAAAGGTGAAAGATCAGAGAAGCAGAACAACCAGTCACCAGACTTCTCACCTCTACGAAATCTCAGACCAAATTGGGGGTGGGGGAGATTCTGTCTCCACTCACCTTATATTCCTGTCTCCACCTGATGATTGTGCTAGGATTAAAGGTGTGCACCACTGCTGGGCTCTGTAATCTCATGTAGCCCAGGGTGGCCTTGAACTCCTGATCTTGCTGCTTCCTCCTCCCAAGTGCTAGGATTAAAGGTGTGTGCCACTGCCTGGCCTCTATGGCTAACTAGTGGCTAGTTTCACCCTCTGATCTCCAGGCAAGCTTTATTTGTCAGAACACAAACAACATATCATACGACAGAGAGACTGGCATAGGAATGGCTGGTACAAAGTGACCCACATAAAGCCGGTGCTGAAGAAAGCACAGAGACGAAGAGTACCAGAGGAAGCTAGAGAGAAAAGCAGGGGCAGAGTTTAGATAGAGAGTCTGTGTGTAATGGGAAGCCATAGAAGGGTGTAAGTAGGGGATGGGCAAATTTCCTAGTGACCCTGTGAGTATCTTTCTGCCTCTTTTTGGAGACTGAGTTACAATAAGAAAAGAGAAGCAGAGAAACCTGTTAGACTCTGTGAGTGTGTTGTGGAATAATCATTTTATACTGTGAAGATGTCATTTTGATTGGTTTAATAAAAAGCTAAATGGTAGGGCAGTGGTGGCACATGCCTTTAATCCCAGCACTCTGGAAGCAGAGCCAGGCAGATCTCTGTGAGTTCGAGGCCAGCCTGGTCTACAGTGCAAGATCCAGAACAGGCACCAAAACTTCACAGAGAAACTCTGTCTCGAAAAACCAAAAAAAAAAAAAAAAAAAACCAAAACATTTTGATTAGTATTTAAACCTTGTAATACAAGTATACAAGCCTCCAGTGTGGTCTGTAAAATAATAAAAATGCATCAAGGACAGTTTTCCTTCAATTACCACCTCAAACACTATAATTTGTAGATTCCAAATTTTGGATCACTTTTGTAAGAACTCTCAGGAAAAAGCTTCACTATAAAAATGCCTTCCCAGGATGGTAATATGACTCCAGCAAGCCTGACAGCCTGAGTTCAGTCCCCAGAACCCACAGGTAGGAGAGAAATGACTGGCAAGTTGTCCTCTGACTTCCACTTGTATGCCATGGTATGTACACATACACACAATAAATAAATGTAATAAAATATTTAGTGCAATAAAAAAGTGAAATGCCCTCCCTATTCCATCTTATATCTGACCTTCAAAGTCAACAGCAAAGGTTTGTTCCACCATTTCAGTGACAGCTTTCAAAGTCTCGCTTTTGGAAGGGATATAAGCCAACTGAAATTTATTTTTCAGAGGATACTTATTGAAATATATTGGCAGTAAACTGATATTAATTGGTTGGTAGTTAGTAGTTGATACGTGTTTTGGCATACTGTTGAAACGAAGATACAATACAATTGTAGAAAATAGTAACGGCATCAAGAGTTCCAGAAGTGTTATCAGAGTCTTCCGCTTCTAAAACAGAAACAACAGCTGTGTGTTAATCCCAGACAAAATTCAAGTGTCAATTTCTACGTGGCAAGCACCCTACTTACACCCTTCTATGGCTTCCCAATACACAGAGACTCTCTATCTAAACTCTGCCCCTGCTTTTCTCTCTAGCTAAAACTCTTCTATTTAAAACCCTGAGGCTGGAGAGAGACCTTCTAAGTACTGTCTTAGCATACATGAAGCATGATCCCCAGTATTGAATAAACCAAATGTGGTTATTCACATCTGTAATCCTAGCACTCAAGAGGTTTGAAGACAGACAGATCAGAAATTCAAGGTCATTCTTGGCTACTTAGGAAGTTCAAGCCCATCCTTTAATATACCTTAGAGACCCTGTCTCAAAACAAACAAACAAATCGAAAATAACAAACGAAAAACCTCTTTCATTTCTTCTAGCCTCCCTACACAAAACACACACAAGAAAGGGGAAAAACAGAATGAGAGCCAGCTAAGCATCTCCATTCAATACCTGTTCTAAACCATCAATGGCTAGAAATCAATGGCAAGGGCTGCATTTAACAATGAGAGCTAACAGAATTACTGTGGGAGTGTGAATTTTTAGAAATGAAGTTCTTAACTGTTCTTCAACTCATTATTAGTGACTGTGATGTCAACTTGATGGAATCTAAAATCACTTGGGAGATAGGCCTCTGGGCATGCCTGTGGTGATTAATTTTTATTAACTGAGGTGAGAAGATTTGTTTAGCTTGTATGGCACCATTCCATAGCTAGGATCTCAGACTACGTACATGGAAAAAGAGGACGGAACAGTATGCATTCACTGTCCTCTGCTCCCTGACTCTGCATGTGATATGACCACCTGCTTCAAGCTGACACAATGACTTCTGCATCACAATAACTATACCTTTAAGCTGTGAGCTAGAACAAACCCTTTCTTCCTTAAGTGGCTTTTGTCAGGGTGTGTTATCACAGCAACAGGAGAAGAAACTAAGACTGTAACTTAGTTAACTTAAACATGCAGTTGCTCCTGAGGATCTACATCTTCCCCAAAGATGATAAGCATACCCGTACCTTTAAGATGAAATTCTTCCAGAGAAGAAGTTTTAACTTCTTGAACACTGCCATTGTACCCCCAGCTGAAGGTGCTCACCACTAGTCAGGAAACAAATTGAGACAATATTATGTATAACACAAAAATGTTAAGTATTCTTTCATCCAGGTATAGTGGCGCACACCTTTGATTCCAGCACTCAGGAGGCAGAGGCAGGCAGATCTCTGTGAGTTAAATGCCAGCCTGGTCTACAGAGTGTGTTGCAGGACAGCTAGGGCTACATAGTGAGACCCTGTCCTGAAAAAAAAAAAACAAAAAAAACAAAAACAGAAGTATTCTTTGCATCCTTGGATAACTTTGTTCTTGTGGGCACTCAGAACATTTTCAAATTACTTTTCTTCTTTTCTATTCTTAATCCTTCTCCATCTTTTTGGGCTGATTCTTCCTCCTCTCCGCAGCCTGTAAACATTAAGGAGCTACAGGGCTCAGTCACTGGACTCCTTTTCATGCCAACATGTGACCTCACGTAGCCATGATAGTATCCACGTACATTCAGACAATGTCTACTTTGATTTCTCTAGCCTGGACTTTGCCTCAAGCTCTTTTCCCAAACAGTCAGCTGTAGGATATCTGTCCCTGCCCGACTGTGTTTTATCTCAAAACTGACCTGACCATGGTCACCCTAAAACAAGTCATCCCACAGTCTTCTTCACCTCAGTTCATATTGTTCGAATCTAGATGGTCTTATAATAAAAATAATAATAAAAAACCTTGAGCCAGATATTGGGGTGAAAGCTGAAAGATCAGAGAAGCAGAGCAGCCAGCCACTAGTTCTTACCTCTACTAAGTTCTCAGCCTAAAGAGAGTGAGTTCCCTGTTTCCTCATGCCTTACATACCTTTTTCTGGCCAGCCATCACTTCCTGGGATTAAAGGCGTGTACACTTCCCAGTACTAGGATTAAAGGTGTGTGCCACCACTGCCTGGCTCTGTTTTCAGTGTGGCCTTGAACTCACAGAGATCCAGGTGGATCTTTGCCTCCCCAGTGACAGGGTTAAGGGTGTGTGCCACCACTGTCTGACCTCTATGTCTAATCTAGTGGCTGGCTCTGTCCTCTGATCCTCAGGCACAATTATTAGGGTACACATATCACCACAAGTTCATATCAGTTCCATTCTTCCATTAACGGTTGTTACTGCCGTCTCTTTTTTGAAGCCTAAATGCAGATTGTCACAAACTGTTGTTGGTCCAGCCTTTGAAATACTCACTGGCGCCTTTCACCACCCGATTCTCATCACCCCTTGCCTTGCCTGAGTTCTTGCCGGAGCCCCAGCAGGGTAATCGCTGCACCTGATCTTGTCATCTTGCAACTAATTTTCTGTGCAATGACAAGAACAATAAAGTTCAAGTCAGACCACCTCTGCTCTTCCACCACAAACTCTGCTGGCTCCCATCTCTCTCCAAGAAAAAGCCTTGCCTTACAATGACTTACAGACTTCTGCAGTGTACAGTTTCTGTTATTTCATCCTTCACCCAGATACTTTATTGTTCCTGCTACAACATCACAGGCCTAGCTACTGTTCCAAAACACAACAAACACCACTGCACCAACATTTGGAGTTCTCCTGCCAAGTACACAATTCCTTCATGTCTTTACATGGAGAATTCTACAGTTTCTTTTGGGCATTTATTCGGAAGTTACCATCTCAGTGAGGTTTTCATTGACCATTCTAAATAAAATTTCAATCACTCGAAACATCCATATCTATTTTTCATGTTTATTTTTCTTCTTAGCATATTTAAGCAGAGAAATGTTTTTTTATTTCAGGACTGGGGATATGGCTCAAGAAATGGCTCAGTGGGTAAAATCTTTGCTGCACAAAATGCTTGCAGGACCTGAGTTCAGTCCCCAACACCCATGTGAAAGTTAGCACATGCCTATAAGCCCAGCACTAGCCGAGCAGAGGCAGGCAGATCTTGGGGGCTCACTAGCCAGATAGTTTAGATGAAACATAGAGGGCCAAGTTCAGTGACAGACCCTGCCTTAAAAAATAAGGTGTGTGGACTGTAGAGCTGGCTTAAGAGTCCATCCAGAGGATCCAAGTTCAGTTCCCTGCATCCACACGGGGCAGCTGACAATTGCCTGTAATTTCAGCTCCAGAAGATCTAATGTGCTCTTCTGGCCTCCACAGGCAGGCACACACACACACACACACACACACACACACACACACACGGGGGGGGGTGTCGTAGAGGGTACAGAGACAGACAGACAGACGGACAGACACACAAATACACAATAAATAATAAAATATTTTAAAATATGATGCAGTACTTCGGTGCCACCATAACCAGCTATACCTAAATTTTAAAAAAAATCATTATATTGATTTTCTGTTACTTTAATGAACTACATGAGAATAAGTATTTATGAAAAAAAAAAAAAGAGGTTTACAGTTTTGAAGGCTGAAAGAGCAACATAGCACCAAGCCCTTGCGGCTTCATCAACTCAAGGCAGATTGTACCACACGGGTGAGAAACACATAGAAATGAAAAATTGCATCATAAGGCAGGATGCCAAAGAGTGACTAAACCAGCTGAGGTTACTCTTTCTCAAGGGTCTTCCAATGACCTAAGGCTTAATCACCAGGCCCCAACTTAAATAAAGACTCTATCACCTCAACATCACCACTTACCCCTTTGGGCACAAACTGCATCTCCCATGCTCATATTCTCTGGCCGGTTTACCTGAACCCCCATTAATAGGTGTTTTAATTTTTCAACAAGAATATATTCATATAATATACTTGTTAAATTTTAAATTTGGGAATGTACTGATCCATCCATATGAATCACCTACATTTTCTAAATGATTAAAAGCTATGCAAATTATATTTTAAGCAAGATATTTAGTGATTTACTCAAGCACAGCTGTGGCAATGTTACTATAGTTTCTGCACTACTTGGATATTTAATAGTACAAGTCTAAATAATTCACTGACACATTCAATGAATTTATGCACATTCCATGTAATTCTGTTTATATTATTTTCAAATTACAATATCTTCACTAGTCTAATGATACATTGTTGAGGACTCTGAATTGTGTTAAACAGGTGTTTTAATACTTATATTTCACATTTCAAGTTTCATCTCTACAGTCAATATACAATAAAAATGTGAGTTTAACACAAGCACCTATTTTGTGAGATTCTGAGGAACATTCTTCATCAAACTCCCAGTCCCATCTTATATTTAAGGGAAATTCTAAGTCATTCAGCTCTGTTCCTAGATTTACTTCTGCAGAACAAGGATTCGGTTTGGAAAGGACTGAGGGGTTGCCAGCTCTAATCAGTTTAAGCTAGCAATGACAAGTCCCGGTTTGAAAGAAAAGCAATTAAGGAAGACGCAGGCTAAAGTACTATACTAGTTAGCCAGCGTGAGGTAGAGAATGAGAAAAACATTCTGTTTGGAGGAATGATGGAAAGTCCTTTGGAGATGTTCGCAGCACGCTAATAATCCAAATCCCCACCTTTCTTCAATTGCCCCCCCCCCAAGCTCATTACAGACATGCATCATACTACCATTTAATTGGCATTTAAGTGCTGGGCATTATAATCCCTTAAACATGCATTTTTTTTTTTCATTTCACTTTCAAAAAAGACGGTGGGTGGGAGGGAACAACAACTCTTGAATTTGCTATTGTTACCATTTCAATCTTAGGAATACGAAATAAAGTTTCTGAGAAGTGAAATGACTTGAATACACTAGTGAAGGACTCAAGACCTGAAGCCAGGTCTTTATGACTGCTTTATTCAGCAAACTGGGCTAGAGCGGTCTCTGTGCAAGGTGTTCTAGGACCCCAGGGATGACCATGTGCCAGGGAGCCCACCTTCTGGGTTAACCATATTGGACCCCAGAGAGTGAGGGGTTCCGACCACAGTGAAACTGACATTGACTCGGAAGTCACGATCCCGGGGTTACCTTACAGCACCTGCCGCGGCCGGCCCCCGCAGCCCAGAAGCTGGGAAAGGCTGCGCCCCACTCACCGCCCGCACCGAGCCGGTGGCCGCGGGCGCTCAGGGACCCACTGCGACTGTTGGCCCCGCGACACCGTCGCCCACGCTCCACCCGGTGACCCACTTCTCCCGGGCCGGCCGCGCGGCTGCACAGCCCTGGATCCAGGAACCTGTGATTCCAGAGCCATTCCCTCCGGCCTGAGCCGACCAGAGGGCACGCGGATGCTCGCACCCTCCGGTCTGAAGAACCACGACCTCCGACCCTCTCGCCTCAGACTGCCTCCGTGCCTCAGTCTACCGCCTGACGAGGTCCCTACGCCCCAGTCTCCTGCCTGAGGGAACCCTAACGCCCCACCCTTCTGCCTGAGGGGAGCCAGAACCCTAACACCCTCCTCCCAGCCCCACCCCACTCCGATTCCGTTCTCCTAGCGGTGCTGCTGGGCTGGGTCGTGACTCCCGCTTTACTCGCTGCCAGCTGTCGCCGGCCAGGTTCCTCAGCCTAACCTCACTAGGACCTGGGTTTCTTCTGCTCAGACAGGAGCAGAAAGTAGCACCTTCCCTTGGTGACACGGTGGAGCGAGGGCCCCGAGGAGAAAGAAGAACTTGAAAGAGTAAAACCCGCCGCGAAAGTGAAATTCCTGATGTTACAGCCTCAACGGCTTGGAAACACAGTCGTCCAGACGCGAGCTTCAGGCCCGCAGCCCCGGGGCTCCATCTCCCGGGGTCGCGCGCTCAGTCTCGGAAGCAGAGCCCCGGACAGAGCCCCCTGCTGGACACGGGCAGGGGCGCGCTGCAGGCTCAGGCGCGCGCGCGCGTGCGGACCCAAACC